CTGGGTGCAGCACCGGGCAGCGGCCACAGCTGCCAGCCCCACAGAGTGGGCGCCGTGGGCAGGGGGCTTCTCCCTGCTGGGGCTGGGGTTTGCAGGCTGTCCTTACCACACGCTCGCCAAAGCTCCACGGGTCCTCCATCTTCAGCAGCTGCTTAAGATCCTTCCTCTTCAGGAACTTTACTACAGAAAGCAGTGTTTCCCGAGAGGCCTGCAGAGCGGCAGAGACCCAGAGATGGCACCGCAGCCCAGGGCACAGGACCTGCCTCCCTGTGCCAAGGCCAGGAGGAGGCTGGAGCCCATGAGGTGCCCGGGTGCAGGGAGACAGCTGAGCCCCCTCCCAGGAGGACACCAGCGCCCAGGAGTCCTCACCTCTGCCACACGCATGTTCTCATCGTGGCAGTGGAAGAAGAGCGGAAGCAGGCTCTCACTGACAAGCATCTTGAGACGTTTTTTACCCTTTCTCACTACTGATTCCATCACGTCTTTGTAGAGGCGAATGGAGAGCAGCTGCACATGGTGGTTGTCCTGTTGGAAAGGAAAAAACTCAGCACTGCATTCTCCAGGCCCCTCTGTGCACAGGCCCAAAATCCACAGTGCACCACACTTGCAGGCAGCACCCAGTGGCCGTGGCTGGGGGCGCAGAGCCTTACATGGTCAAAGAGAGGCTGGAGCACCTCAGCCAGTTTTGGGGCCGTGGGGCTGGATACTAGGATGTCTTTGTTGAGGAGTACATTCCTTAACACAGAGAGGGTCATCCTGACCACATCTACATCTTCATTCCTCAGTAGCTCCACAAGACTTCCAGACAGGCTGCACATTTTTTTGGCCTGTGTGGAACACAAGGCTATGCTGTGAATCCATGAACAGCTGCACCACCAACACTGCTCCAGTGGTGCAACCCCACGCTCCTGCTGCTGCCATGGAGCCCAGGGGCCGAAGGTCTGTCCTGAAGCACTCAGGAGAGCTGAACAGCAATGCAGGAGAGAGGGGAGCAGCTGCCACGGCTCCCAAAGCCCAGCCCAGCCCAAGGGGCTGCTTTCCCCAGCCCCACGCTGCCAGCACAGCTTCAGCCGCTGCTGCCTTCTCACCATCGAGGGGTCCTTGCTGAGCTGCACGAGGCCTCTGAGCGCCAGGCGACGCATCTCCCTGGACGTGCTCTGCAGTTGCCTTGCCATGATGTCCAGGATGGTGTCACCCCATTCATTGAAGTTCAGGAAGTCCAGGACCTGAAAGGCACAAAGCAGTGACCGGGGTGCCCAGCTGGCAGGAGCTCAGAACTGCACAGGGCTGAGCCGAGGCAGCAGCACAGGGCACGGGCAGCGTCGCAGGCAGCTGCAGCTCTGAGAGGGCAGAGAGGTGGGAGGCAGCTCGGCGAGGCTGCGCTGCCCGTGGGGCTCACCTCCACAAGGAACGCCATGGCAGCAAGATCCCAGAGTGGCTCCTCCCTGCTGAGCCGCCTGATCAGGCGGAGTGCAATGCAGGAGCACATGGGTATGGAGACACGGCGCATCTCTCTGGCAGGGGGAAAGAGGCACCATCACCCCCGAGAAGAGTGGGTAAAGCTCTCCCAGGACTGACTCACACAGGTCTGGTCTTTTCCCGAGCACCCCGTGGGCGCTTTGGGAGGCGGCTGTTCCCGGGCACCCTCCTCTGCCAGCCTTTTCCAGTCTGCTCGTTGGTCTCTTTGTGACAAAGCCCTCTCACCCATGCCCATGGGAACTGTGTGGGGCATCCT